TTAGATATCCTCCCCCCCCCCTTCCCCCCCCTTTTTTTAAAAATAAAAAATAAAAAAATTATACATATTTTTTTAATCCTATACTACCGAAATTATTACAATTCCAGCACCAAGACAGACGAAGAATACCGACTAGAGAAGTTCTCCTAAGTCTGCAGGGAACACGTACTGTGGGTTCGTCGACGACCAAGCTAATCCCGTCAGTGACGAGGTTTCGACGTGGACGGCCTCAGAGCATTTCGACTGACCAACGTGTCTGATCGAACTGTGTACCTACCAGCACACGACTTGATCGCAATGTGGATTCCAGATGGGGATTTGCCACGAGGTGACGGCTATGTGCGTCTGGAGTCCAAGAAGTACCAAGACTGGCAAGTATTAGCCTACGAAGGTTGTAGAGACCGCGAGTTTTTTCAGCGTGAATGTGAAATCTACGAACAATGGCTTGCAACTCAGCCTTCGGCCGTTGATCGACCGAGCTATCCAGAACTTAGTGGGGTGCTAGCACGACCTCTAGAAGACTCGCTAGTGCATTCTAGTGATCGTCTGACATGTGCAGAGCGCTGGGCACTGATCCTGGAAGAACGTGAACGAGTAGAAGCCTGTCTGGCGTCTGGGTTGACAGCCGGGAATTTGGCTGACGGTCAGCCTTCCGCAGAACCTTTGGACACGTATGTGGTGTAGCGGGATCAGCAAAATCTGCGAGATTGCCAGATCCAACTTACCAACTGCGCCCAGACACCGACTAACGGAGGGGGTCCCCCGATGATCCGTGTTCTGCTGAACTTTCCTCACCTTGTGTACCCGTCGGTAGGGCGGGATCTTGCTCTCTCGGTAACTTCCGAAGAGTTCAAGTGGTGAAGCTTGAGTGTCTTGGCGAGACGTGGGGATGGGGTGGAGCAGCAGTGGAAAATCTTCACTCTGCGTCCGTGTATTGTTCCGTATCCTAAGCGAATATTCGAGCTTATGGATCCGGGGCCTAGATCGTGGATCTGGCCGTAGGGTTGCCTTGCGGGTGTGTTCCCTTGCCTTTGTGTTGTCCTTTAAGTCGTACTTGCCGCCTCCTGTGACGGGATCTTGAGAGTTGAGAACCTCTAGGGTGTAACCGACCAAGTAGTAAATTCGGTTAACCTGTCGGATCTGCACGAGTAAAGGAAAAGCTCACTAGGTTGTAGGATCTGGCCAATGTATTATCCAGTTATCACTACCAACACTAGATTCGCAATTCCCAACCTTCTCGGAGCTCGTACGGCCAATGTAGTTCCGGTTCTTGAGGGCAGGAAGGCACTTGCGTGATACTGTGCAAATTGAGGTCTGTATTGATATTTAAGCCTATACCTGCCTGGGTTTCTACCTTCTATGTCTTTCATCTGCTAAATCCCTTACCAGGCTCGGCTGCATGTCCCTTCTTCCCTTGACCCATCATCCCAGCTGTATTATCTTCAGATCCACCGGATCCATGGCGTAATCATTATGGTTACCCTATTATGGGTACACTCATCAGGATCCAGGTCGCTTGGATCCACTTCACTTGAAAGTGTACACTCGTCGTGGATCTGAGCTCTCCACTCATCCAACATCATCTCGCAACCGTCTGTGATCTCCACTGTCCCACGAAAGTTCTAGATCCACTGCATCCATCATACCTGTACCCTGGATCCAGGCCCTTAAGGCGGGATCCTCCCTCCTTGGATCCTAACTCGAAAGCATGGGATCCGGGTCACCTCGCGGTGGATCTTGACTCCTCGTTAGCCGTGGCTACTAGATCCACCTTTAGAGGGCACCTACCATCCTTCCTTCATAGGATCCACACCCGATCCACTCTTGTATAGTATATCCCATATCCATTTAGGTGAATCCAAGTAAGGGTGGATCCGAGGTAAGTCTTGGTGGATCTTGCCTTCTCGTACATCGCTCATACCAGATCCATCGTCACTTCATACGGGGCGCTGCTCGTCATGGCTAATCCACCACCGGCAACTTGCATCCGTGCCAGCCAACCCAAATCCTCTCTAATCACTTGAAATTGTCATTGATTCGGGATAGTGACCCCGCGTCAGGCCCATTCTCTTATTTCTGAGAAAGCACTTTACCACACCCATACCAAGCCGTTTGGGCTCATAACCTGTAGGAAATATAGAATCGAGTAGATGTGAATGACTTGGATTGAACGCGTGCCAGACGCGTTTCGGCCCCCGCCGGGGCCTCGTCAGTGGCTTTACCAATCTCGAAGTGAGAGCTAACCAACCATCCGCTAACTAAGACCTATCACTATGCCTAGACCCTTCTAGAACCTTCCATATACCGTAACATAGGATACTACTCTGGAGTCGATGTACGTGCACATCTTGCACTTCCAACACTCCCCCTCGACGACATGAGTCGTAGCCGTCTTGGTCACGAGTGTACATCCATCGGCTGCTCTCCGCATGATGCTTGTCATCTGCAGCCTCTTCACTGCATACATTCTTGTAGGGTTTACCACCTGCGCGCTGGCCAGCGTAACCGTTGCTGCCGCGATCGCTAGGTTTCCCGGCTCCCTCATGTTCACCACCACGTCGTCTCTTGACACCTTGTAGCCGTCCTTAAGCCTTGCTTGAGCTTGTTGTTGTTCTCCTTCTCGATCGACCTCTTTCGATCCACCACTCACACCACTCGAAACCACCTCCTTGTGCAGAACTCGGCCGTCCTTTTCCCAAATGCAAAGAGCGACTGCGTGTCCATCGCGCACTTGTATGTTCCGCTCCCCCTGTCGTCGGAGCCCGTTGCTTCCGCGACGACTTGAGCGTGAACTCCCCCAGCGCGTATTCCGCGTACACCGCAGTGCCCATACCAAGCCGTTTGGGCTCATAACCTGTAGGAAATGTAGAATCGAGTAGATGTGAATGACTTGGATTGAACGCGCGCCAGACGCGTTTCGGCCCCCGCCGGGGCCTCGTCAGTGGCTTTACCAATCTCGAAGTGAGAACTAACAAACCATCCGCTAACTAAGACCTATCACTATGTCTAGATCCTTCTAGAACCTTCCATATGCCGTAACATAGGATACTACTCTGGAGTCGATGTACGTGCACATCTTGCACTTCCAACAGGGCGTCCGTGGCCTCGTAAATGTACAGGATCGTGACGCCGATGTTGGTCATGACTGCGTCCATGGGGGACAAGTCCACGATGTTGGAAGCGTTGTCGGTGGTCATCGTAGTGGAGAACTCGATTGTTTGCAGGGAGGAAATTGGAGAATGAGCAACTGGTTTGGGGTGGAAATGCTGCCGAGACATTTGAGTTGGAGCTGACCTAGCTAAAGTGAGCAGTGAAGTACGAAGAAGCCTTGAAGATACATGTACAGTAGACTCCCTCAATATAATAGAAAGAATAACTTATTTGATTTCAGCGGAAAGATAAATGTAAAACGTGTTTGTTACGTATTCTCAAATCGCACTTACTAAATATGAACGGGTATCGAAACAACGATCTTTGTTTAATTTTTGATTCGCAGCACAATCAAATTGGATTACGTCAGGTGTTGAACAGTCTTCAACGTACTGATTTTCATTGACCCGGGGCCCATGGTTTAGCATCGTGATTGTTGCAGTTACACCGTGAGCCCTCTGAGTGAGTAGCAACTACAAATTCCCTGTGCAAGCTAGCTTTACAAAGGCCTTCAAAAGAATGTTTGTCCCGTATTGGTAAACACACTATCTGCATCCAGAGTGAGTAAGATTTTTATTAAGTACATGTATTGGCCTCGCTTGCGAAGTCGAAATCTTACTTGATGGTACCACAAAGTGTGTCAATGCACGCGCTCCCCTCCAACCGCCATTGCCAACCAACTACGTTGGTAACGCCACCTTCTTCGGATTGTCCACTTATGAAGCGACTGAGCTCGCTTCCGACGATTTGGTTTTCACGCTGCGTGTTGATGCACAGCGCGTTCGCGAGTCCACCTTGTAGCCACCGATGGCCTAGTTATACGCTGACCCGGTGTAGCATAAGGAAGCCGACTTGGATGTCATTTTGTCCCTTGAGAGCAAGGCAAAAAGGTGTTTTGTTACACCAGCGACGTACATGTATAAGTACCAACAAATGGTAAAAGGCCTAGCAATGTACAAGTTCATTTTCTACAAACGCCTAGTGTTCAAAACTGACTTATTCCGTTCGATCCGGATGGCCAGACTACCTGTTTGTGTATCGAGTAGAGCTATGCGTCATTCTTCGGATGGCAACGCGAACACAGGGGCTACCATTGTGCTCTCGAAGCGCAAGGCCATAAAGAACATTTCAGTGAACCAAAACTTGACGTTGGTGATGGAGGTGCGTATCCAGCCACCATGACGGAGGATGCAGCCGCTGTCACGATTAACGTCAAGAGGAGCAAAACCCAACGACGTCGTCATCTGCGTCCACTTGTAAGAAGCACCAAGACATTGCTGAACGGCGTTGTGCTGCAAGGCAGTGTCAAAAATCACGTATTCTTCTCCCAACCGAACACGCCACAGCAACTCCAGCGAGTTGGACGAGCTCTGAGTGTGCGGGTTGAACAGCACACTCAGCGAAGAAGACGATGCTAAGAGACGAAGATATATCGCGAATTCTTCCTAAATATATGCTGCGTAAGTGCAG